CAAGACCAAGAAACACCAGATCCAGACCTGGCCACTGCATAAGTAATTACAGAAATGTCACAATAAATCTTGCTTCCTTGTGTGCTAACCAAACAGTTTCAGGGGAGCTTAAAAGAAGAGCCAAACACAATGGCACATGCTTGGAACCCTAGTACTGGGTAAGTAAAATCAAGCAGATTAAGGGTTCAAAAGGAGCTATGGCTAAGTAGCAAGTCTGAATCCTGCCCCTGTTACATTAGGACCCTACCTCAAAAAAAAAAAAAAGTTTTTAAGAAAAGAAAAACTAAAGTGTAAGAGTGTACACCAAGGTGAGAAAGGTGTGTGTGAAATACCCCATTTGTCACCCTGTCTTTTCCTCCTCTACTATATAAACTTGATACTAGTATTAAAATATATACTATTTGGAAAAACACAAATGATCACACCTTCTTAAGCACACGGCTAGGTATCTTTCTAGCCAGTAAGAACCATTAAACCATTTCATAACAATTACTTCAGTCTGTGTTTAGGAATGTGCTCAAGGAATTCATACCAATTCTATAACTGGCAAAGAAAAACAACAGGCAAGTTTATCATTTATTTAATCAAAACGTATATCCCTACCCAGGTGTGATAACACAAGTCTTTAATTCCCATCACTGGGAAGGAAAAGGTAAGCCCAGAGAGAGGCATACTCTGCCAGTTTGGGGCCAACCTGGACTACATAGCAAGTTCCAGGCCAGTGAGGACTAAATAGTGAGACCTTGCCTCAAATATCCATAAAAATAAATTTAAAAAAAAAAAAAAAGCATAATCCCAGCACTAAGACTATGGAAACAGGAGAATTATAAATTCAAGCTAGCATGGACTACAATAACAAGACTTTATCTTTAAAATAAAAAAAAAAAATCACTTTTTAAAAAACTTAATTTTAGGCTGACACAGAAGGATCTCTTTGAGTTTGAGGCCAACCTGGTCTACAGTGATTTCAAGATAACCATAGCTGGATATGGTAGCACACACCTTTAATCCCAGCACTCCAGAAGGCAGAGGCAGGTAGATCTCTATAAGGCCAGCCCAGTCTACAAATCAAATTCCAGGACAGCCAGGGCTAGACAGATATACCCTGTATTGAAAAACCAATGGCAGTGTTGGCACACACCTTTAAACCCAGCACTCAGGGAGCAAAGGCAGGCAGATCTCTATGAGTCTGAGAATAGCCTAGTCTCCAGAGCGAGTTCCAGGACAGACTCCAAAGCTACAGAGAAACGACCTCAAAAACCATAAAAAGAAAAACCAAAATATAAACACACACACACACACACACACACACACACACACCAGCACAAGCCCTTTTGCCCTCTCTGCAATGAGTCAGGCCTGATGCTACATTACCTGCGATTCTAGTTCTTGGGTGCCTGAAGCAGAAGAATCACAAGTTCAAGGACAGCCTGAACTACTCTAGAGAGGCCTTATCTCCTCCCATCACACTAAAAAAAAAAAAAAAAAAAAGCACCCTCCTAAGTCCAAAGGATAAGGTACATCTAGGATGAGAGATAAGTGAAAAAGATGACTAACCTTAAAGATGGATGTTACTCTTGAATGTAAAACTATATAAATCAGATTTTGTGGTTTTTCCCATTCCAATAGGCCCAAAGGACTGAGAATGACATATTCATCTAAGCAGGGAAAACATAATCCAATTTTCTTATTCTTTCCAATGACCCAAACTAAACTCTTCATAGGAAAATCTATCCTTGATTTAATGTAATGCATTTCAAACACTTAGGTGACAGAGACTTTAGGAGACAGTAAAGGAAATGACCATATAATTCTTAAGATACAGGAAAAACCCTTCCAGTTGTAATTTAAAGTATGAACATACATTTCAATAAAAGATATAATATACCTAGTCCTAGTTTGCTTCACTGTTGACGTGATAAACACCATGGACAAAATGAAATTAAAGCTTGCTACAAATTTGGCTTAAATTGTGGTAGTGGTCTTATTCTTGACTAGGGGGATTAACATTTTCTGGAGGTCCCAGCAAGGTTCATACCACCCACCCAAATTCTAAAGCTGGACCTTCACATGGGAACTCTGGGGCTGAGGAGCCGCTTCAGGAGGCAAGTGCCTTGAGACATTCCAAGGCTCCAAGGCCACTTTCAGTTCACAGACAATTAAGAAATACGAGTTAATGGTCAGTCACCTTATAAATGATCAAATTCTTGAAAGTGTTCAGAACTGTACTTGTAGTCATGCTAAGTTTTAATGTGATTAATTACTTATTTATTTAGCCTATATGTGTTTTCAAGGTTAAGCCTAGATTTGTCTAGCTCAGATATACTTAATAAACAATGGTCCTCAAACTTGTCAGTGATCTGAGGAATATGACATTTAAAATATTTAACAGAAAAGTTTACTAAGACAGAGAGCCCCAGCCCCTAGCAGTAACTCCAAGGTCTCCGAAGAAGATGATGGGACACCAAGTCGACTCCACCTGGATTGTGATAACACTAACCACTGGATAACGATGCCTCAATGCTGCACCTAACATCAGGATCCTACCCAAACAAGCAGGACACTGGAGAGTTGACTGCCCCACTTTGCCTAGACAAAGTAAGGTCAGTCTTCCCCATGTTTCTCCTCCACAGAAAAACCTCTCAGCTTCTGGGCCTGGTGGCCAAAGACCGATTTTGTCCTGATACCTCTGCCCCCAATGCCTACCACAGGAGGCCGGGATGCATCTAGGTAATGAACTAGTCTCTACATTTTAAATGATACACAGACCATTTGGATTATCTTCATGCTATAATGTATTCTTCCCAGATCTCTGATGGTATTGACAGCTAGGCTAACTATAGCTTAGCAGCAGCAGGCAACCAAATTCTTCCCCAAGGCTGCAGCTACCTTTTTAATTTCAGATATAAAAATTCAGCCTTGCCTTTTTAGTTAATTTCAGATATAAAAATTCAGCCTTGCTTTTTTTCTAGAGCTACTAAGTATCCTTCTGAGAAAAAAGTAGGCAGGTTTGCCCTGCTAACAAGCTTCGTATTAAAAGAGAAACAGGTTTCAAGATGTAACTTTAAACTAAAGGAACGTAATGTGAAATGACTATTCTCAGTAATAACTGCTTACGTCTCTGATAAATGATTAGATGAAAAGGAAAAGCACTAAAATCTATGCAAGTTTTGAGGGTCTAAGAAAGTGTTTAAGATATATAAAGGTCTGAAGATGTGAAAGCTTAAGTAAGTTCTGAGGGTCTCAGAAAGTGATTTAAGATGTAAATGCAAGTGGTAAAGGTATAAATAAGTGATTTATGCTATGTGGAAATGGGAAATGTTTCAGATTTCCTTCCCCTTCTATGCTATTGTTACAAGAAGATTTAAAAGTTCAGAGTTTTATCACTAATCAATGGAGTTCTGATAAGCTGGTAGAGCAGTGACTACTTGTTTAGTCACAAGTTCAAGATTTTAAATTTTCTTTGGTTGTATTCTAAGTATAGACTTAAAGGCACTTTTCATCAGGCTAAAGACATCTCTCTGTCCAATCTACATTTAGCTCTCTAGACAGAGGAAAAATGTTCATGCTTCTTAACCCAAATCTATAATCTTCTAGAACTTAAAGATGTGAGTCTACTCCAACTGTTTACAGACACCTATCGCCTTTCTATTCTACAATGTAGTTTTCATTACAGATTGGTAATGCTAATGTATCTAAAACCTTTTATGTCTTTTTGTAAACTAAAAAAAAAAATCATGTTAAGTCAGGCAGTGGTGGCACATGCCTTTAATTCCATCACTCAGGAGGCAGAGACAAGTGAGATCTCTGTGAGTTCCAGGCCAGCATAGTCTACAGAGCAAGTTGCAGGACAGGCTCCGAAGCTACCCAGAAAAACCCTATTTTGAAATACCAAAAAAGAAAAAGAAGAAGAAAGAAAGAAATCAAGTGAGTCATAATATTTGGATCTACTTCACAGGTCAAAGAACTCCAGATAAGTATAGCCTAAGTTTCCCCACCTGTCTATTCCTGAGGATGATCCTCCCTCTCCCCCTCACCCTTCTCCTGGTCTTGGCTCCTCTCCTTCCCCAACTACTAGGACTATGGGCCTGAAATTGAAAATGTAGTATTTGCCTTTAAGTTTCTAAATTTTAACTTCTGTCCCTAGTCTATATCTAATTCAAAGTACAGCTCTATAGTTAAAAGATCAAAGTACAGCTCTATAGTTAAAAGAGAGGGAATATACAGAAAACATGGCTAGGACTTTCAGTCAACTCCAGAGCTACTTTCCCAGGGGGCAGTATTTGACTGATGCCCTGATATCAGCTTGAGAATGTCTACTTTACCTAACACCTCCTCCTTCACACTCATTGCTACTCATCGCCATGTTTTAACTTTCCACTCCAAGAAGTCTTCATATCCAGTAAAATAGTCATCTCTAGTAACCTGGTCAACTCACTAACAAATCTATCCTCTCCACATTTAAGTCTTCTCCAAGGCCTCAAACACATCAACACTCCAGAGTAAGAGAAACTATGGAATACCAAGAGCCTCCCCGACTCAACTGAGTGCCCACTGTAAACCTCTGGCTGTCCTGGAAATCCCACTGGAACAAACAACCTATAGCTTCTGGTCCTACATCGGTTACATCTGTGATAAAACTTGTCTTTCCACTTTAGACACTTCTAGAGAACTGAAAATATGTGTCTGTTAAAGGCATATCTCAAAATGTTCTACTGAAAATATCTATCACCAATGACTTTTATAACTATGAATCCTACAAAAACAAGAGGAAGAAGGGACTGACCAACTTTTTTATTACTCAGGAAAAGTCACCAAGGAAAATATTTTTAAAAATTGTTGTTTTAATCTCAAAATCTTTATATAGCTTTGGTAATATTGGTCGGAAAACATTGGGTACATGACTTGTGGCTGACTAATTCAGCATCTTCATGCCATTTAAAAATAAGGAATGTAAATTCAATTATTTTAAATAAAACATAAAAAGAGAAAAGAAATACCTCAAGTTCCACCAGAGCAGCAGTCACTGCATCTGTCGCAAGAGCACCAGCCTGTAGCTTCTCAATTGCCTGTGAAGCGAAGAGAAGAAATTACTCACTGTGAAACTAGCTGCTCAAACATATTATTGGCATGTCAAAGACTTAAAAAGTATGACAGCTCAAGTTAGTAAAAATTGGTCAGCATTTCCATTTCACACTTGAAGGCAAAGCGTCTGACCTGCTGACACTATGTCATTAAGATGTGGTAATGTTGGGTGTCATTCCTGGATACATGTGACCTGTAGGCTGCAAGTTGGACAAGGCTACTTTAAGACATACATTTCTCAGATTTAAAAAAAAAAAAAAAAAAGTACTATTCATTACTCAGACTAATTATCATTCTTAATATTATCCAAATTAAAACAATGACTGAAAATTAACAACTAAGGAAGCTGGGGAGATGGCTCAGAGGTTAAGAGCACCAGCTGCTCTTCCAGAGGACCTGAGTTCATTCCCAACAACCACAGGGTTACTCACAACCATCTATAATGAGATCTGGTGCTCTCTTCTGGCATGCAGGCATAACACTACATACATAATAAGTAAATGCATCTTTTTAAAAAAAAAAAAATTAGCTGCTAAATGTGAAGTATAAGAAGTTGAGTAAGTGAAAGAGCTTCATTGTTCAGAGTACTTCAAAAGAGCCACAGAAATGATGGGTCAGTTCAGTAAAGATACCCTGACAATTTATATTTCACATAGAGAACTGCATCTCAGACCCAGCTAACACTACCACTATTTCTACTCTCCCCATACATGCATATCAAAAACAGTTAATTGTTTCTAACTCACAAAATCTTCTGATAAACCAGTTATGGCTGCCAGGGCCATAATAATGTCTAGACCATGTCTGCAGAGGGGGTCTCTGAAGATGTCCATGGCTGGTGTTGCCTCAGGGGATCACAGGAACCATGTGCTGAGCTGGTCCCACCCCTCACTGGCCCTGGAATAGCTAACCCTGTCCCTCACTAGTCACTGCAGTGGGAGAACTGGTCCCTCCACCCACCATGGGAAAGCTGGCTCTCCCAGCCTTCGTGATAGATGGTCCCACCCCTCAATGTGGACAAGGGAGAACTGGTCTTGACTGATAGCATGGGTAACCTGAGAGGGACAGTACCAGTGACCCAGACCAAACAGCTCAGCTAGCACTCAGAGCCTTGGTTTGGCCTACCCTAACACTTACCATATCTATGACCTGTTAAAGATCATGAAGGGATTGGTCCTGCAGTACGATAAATGCAGGATCCCCAGGACTCAAGGAAATAGCAGGATATCCAAGAGGAATTTCAGTGAAAGTCCAATAATGATGGTGTGTCACAAATCTTGAACCAGACCAATGGCTCATTGCAGTAGACAATTGAGTGCACCTGATTGAACAAAAGGATACACTACAAGACACACCACAGTACCGAATGCCTCTAGAATGAATAAAGAGGTGTTGAAAAGACATGAAGTGGGGTATTTTGTTTTGCTTTGTTTTGTTTTTAATTGATTTTTGAGGGGGAAATTCTTTTAGGGGAGGGATGCTGCAGGGGTAATGGGGAGGATATAGAGGATATGGGAGGTGAATGGGATCGGTATGCATGATGTGAAAGTGCCAAAGAGTCAATAAAGAATTATGTTATTTTTAAAAAAAAAAAAAAAAATGGCTTTTAGGGGCTGGAGAGGTAGCTCAGCAGTTGAAAACACTGGCTGCTCTTCCAAAGGACCTGGGTTCAATTCCCAGCACCCACATGGAAGATCACAGCTGTTTATAACTCCTGTTCCAGGGAGTCCGACACCCTCACACAGACATATACAGGCAAAATAAATGAAATAAAAATAAATTACTTTCTTTAAAAATGGCTTTTAAATACATTATTAAAACTCTAATTCAATTAGCAAAGACAAAGCCCAAAAACTAATAATCTATTTCTAATTAAATGTTTTATTATTTTATTGTATGTATGAATGTTTTGCTTGCACGTCTGGATGTGTACAACTTATGTGCCTGGTGCCCTCAGAAGTCATAAGAGGATGTCAGATTCCCCCAGGACTGCAGTTAACAGATAGTTATGAGCTGTCATGTAGGTGCTGGCAACTGAACCTGGCCTCTCTCTAAGAACAGCAAGTAATCTATTAATAAGAAAAAAAGCTCCTAACTCTGATACAGTATCTTTCTTGTAAATGGCACTTAAATATGAATGAAAGGAAAAATATCCATGTTTACCTGATTGGCAGCTTCTAATTGCATAAAAAGTAATAGAAAGTTTGCCTACAAGACTTATATAGTCCAAATCAAAATAAAAACAAACAATATTTTTTCTGAGATCATTCCTGCCCCCAAACTAATTATTCAACAATTTAGCAAACCTCAGAAGTCAAAGGCACACAAGTGAACAGGACAGAGCTCAGGGCACTAGGAAGACAGGTGTCTGCTGTGCCCGTGCTAAAGAGCAGTGCAGGGCCCACAGTCATTTGAGAAGACACTGGCATTTGACCTCTTTCTTTTCTTTTTTTTTTTTTTTTTTTGGTTGTTGTTTGAGACAGGCTTTCTCTGTAGCATTGGTTGTCCTGGAAGTCGCTCTGTAGACCAGGCTACCCTCAAACTCACAGAGATCCACCTGCCTTTGCTTCCCAAGTGCTAGGATTAAAGGTGTACACCACCACAGCCAGGCTTTTCTTTCTTTCCTTTCTTTCTCTCTCTCTCTCTCTCTCTCTCTCTCTTTTTTTTTTTTTTAATGACTTCACATCAAGAAAGAAAACATTAAGCATTTATTCACAAGAAGGCAAAGGCAGGTGAGTCTGAGGACAGCCAGAGCTACAAAGTCAGACCCTGTCTCAAAAAAACAAGTGTAAGAGTGTGTGTGTGTGTGTGTGTGTGTGTGTGTGTGTGTGTGTGTGTGTGTGTGTTCTCCAAATTTAAAAAAAAAAAAAAAATTTTAAAGGAAGAAACTACTTAACATGAACACTTTTTCCCACCTTTCCAAAGAGTTCAATCAATGTGGGAATGTTTAAAAAGATATGGTTATATGTGCCCATTACTATAAAAGCACACACTTTAATCTGGGGAAGGAGAGGAAAAAGTTAAACATCATTCAAAGAATTAAAAACACAGATTAAACTAAAAACTGAGGATAAAGATCCTACAAATATGAATAAAGTAACTCTGGGATCAAGCCAAACTTCACTGGAAAATGAAACATAAAACATTAAATCTCAAGGTAAAGTTTCATATGGAAAATCACAAGCATTATACCCACTCTGCTCATACCTTCTGACAAGCTCGTTTGCATACATGTTTATATTCCTTGGCTTTGGATTCAGAATGATAACCTGCACCTACAGGGGAAAAAAAAAAAAATGTTAGTTATAGCTAAAATACCAGTGACCCTCCAACTAGAAAAGTAGTCTACACACATAATTCTAGTGCCTTGACTGTATGGGATTCTAGACTCTATTTAACAGTTGATATAATGCTTTTCTCATTCAAAAAAGTGTCCTGTCAGAGCTCCTAAGAATAGCTCATGCCTCCAAAGATCCTTCACATGGTCATTCCCCACCTCAAGAACCTCTACCAGACAACTTAAGCTCTATTTCAAAAGATGCCCACTCACACAAGTTATTCTCTGATCTCCATAAGTGTAATGATCTCCATAAATTTCCTGTGGCACAGACCCTTTACCACCACCACACATGACAGACAGACAGACAGACAGACAGAGAGATGTAACTGATAACTCTAATTTATTATTTTAAAGAATAGTAAACTCAGGAGTTCCTCTGGTATGGTTGATAATGCAGGTGGTGCCAGGATTAAAGAACTTTAAAGTCCCTCTCTAGTGATCTCTTAAAAGCCCCACTATTTAGGAAATTATTATTAAAAATCTAAAATTCTAAAGAATTGTCCAAAAATCCTGATGGCCTGTCATTTAAACAAGTACCCAGAAAGTTACTTAAAAATTTGGCTCCAAATAAACTAGCTTCCTTAAGGAAATTTATTCTTACAACTAGAGAAATGGCTCAGTGGTTAAGAACACTTGCTGCTCTTCCAAAGAAAGCCAGCTCAGTTCCCAGGACCCACATTAGGTGGCTTACAACCAACCACCTAACTCCAATATCTTCTTCTGGTCTCCACAAGTGCACACATGTGTCACACACACAGACACAATACATATGAAAATTTTAAACATTTATTTTATTACTATTGATATCTGTCTGTATAATATGTGTATATTCATATAAGTTTCCAAGGAAACCAGAAGAAAGTGTTCCATCCTTTGAAGGTAGAGTTACATTTGACTCTGAGCAGCCCAACATCAGTGCTGGAATGTGAACTTGTGTCCTATTCAAGAGCAAGTGCTTTCTGATGTCTTTTAAGATTTATATATTTTTATTTTACATGTTTGGGTGTTTTGCCTGAAAGAATGTCTGTGCACCTCTTGCATGCAGTGTCCCAAGAGGCCAGAAGAGGGCACTAGATCCCCTTGAACTGGAGTTACAGGCAGTTGTTAACCACTACATAGATGCCGGGAATTGGATTCCAGTCCTCTAGAAGAGCAGGCAGTGCTCTTAAACACTGAGCCATTTCTCCAGCCCCTTGTTTTTAATTAATTGAGCTAGGGATGGGAGTAGAAAGAGAAAGGGGAGCAAGAGGAGGAGGAGAGACAAGAATGCTAAACTCGTGATAAATAAGGTTCTTATTAAAGGCCTTTCACTAGATTCCATATAGGTCAAAGCTAAGTAAGATTAAAGTTACATGTCTAAGCCTCTAACTCTCCTGTGGATCTAGTGGAAACCGAACACAACTTTTCTCAAGACTGAGAGAAACCTGATCCACAATGTTACAGGAACCTGAGTCAACAGAAATGATGCTAAGCAACTGGAGTCCCTAAGTAATTCTCTTTCACAAGAGGAAGCTAAAAGTTCAAAGAGCTTCCATCAGTCCTTGTCAAATCTATCTTCACAGTTCTCTTAAACCATGCTTTACAGAAAAGAGAAAAGAAGGGAAGGGAAGGGAAGGGAAGGGAAGGGAAGGGAAGGGAAGGGAAGGGGAAGGGGAAGGGGAAGGGGAAGGGGAAGGGGAAGGGGAAGGGGAAGGGGAAGGGGAAGGGGAAGGGGAAGGGGAAGGGGAAGGGAAGGGGAAGGGGAAGGGGAAGGGGAAGGGGAAGGGGAAGGGGAAGGGGAAGGGGAAGGGGAAGGGGAAGGGGAAGGGGGAAGGGGAAGGGAAGGGAAGGGAAGGGAAGGGAAGGGAAGGGAAGGGAAGGGAAGGGAAGGGAAGGAAAGGAAAGGAAAGGAAAGGAAAGGAAAGGAAAGGAAAGGAGCCTATGGCCATGCCACCCCCAACTGACCCAATCCCAGCTGATCTCAGAAGCTAAGTAGGGTCAGGCCTGGCCAGTACTTGGAAGGGAGAAGCAGAGGTTGCCCATGATCACACCATTTCATGCCATAGCCCAGACTGATCCCTACTCATTCTGGGCTCTAGCAGTCTTTAACTGGGAGGCATTATCATCAAGTGTGTGTCTGAGAGAGGAAGAACAGAAATCATGACAGTCAAAACAAGCAATGTTTCCAAAGTAACCTGACCCTGTTACTACCTGTCCAAGTCCGAGATGTTTCTCGTATGTTTTACTGCTAACTTTAAAGAGTTACTCACTGGTATTACGGATGCACTGCTGGCATGGTGCAGTAACAATGATGATGAACCAGAGATTCAGAAGTGGGATAAGAATCCCAGGTCTACTTTTAACTAAGTAAAAGTACAAACATTTCCATACATTTGCCTCATCTCACCATTTCTTTTTAATGATCCTTTTCATCTTTGTGGGTTTGAGTATGCATGTTGCATGTGTATGTGTGTAGTGTGTGCCTCACATGTGTGGAGTACCAAAGGAACTGGAACTAGAACTACAGGAAGTTCTAAGCTGCCTCGTGTGGTTGCTAGGAACTGGACTCGGTTCTCTGGGAGCAGCAATAGTTCTTAACCACTGAGCAATTTCTTCAGCCCCCTCATCTCTCGTTGTAAAAGAGGGGAATGTGACAAAAGAAAAGGGAATTAACCAGTATAGTGGCAAGCCTGTGCTGTCTAACAGGACTCTGTCTTGAAGATAAGCAACATAACTGCATATGGCAGCTCATGTCCCCAGTCTCAACACTGAAAGCTAAGCTGCAGAGCTGCCCTGAGGTCCAGGCCAGCTTAGGCTACAAAGTCAGTTCTGGGCCAGCCTGGGCTATAGAATGAGACAGTGTTTAAAAAAAAAAAAGAATGTGGGGAAGTGCACCTAGATGGCTCAAGAAATAAGTACCTATTGCAAGCCTAGCAATCTGAGTTAAATCTCCAGAAGCCATGTAAAGGTGGAAGGACATAACCATCTATCTCACAAAATTGTCCTTTGACACATGCACCACAGCACAAGCATCCAATAATAACCATTTTTACAACTAAAAACAAAAAAAGGCAAAGGCTGACAATACACCTCTGTGACCAGGCACTCACCTGGCACACACAGGAGAAAGACAGGGTATGATAGATGTGACAGGGGACCAGAAGAGATAGAGAAATTGCCTATATTTTATTTTAGATTACATTCTAAAGGACTTCCAAATTGTCCAGTCTAAAAAACAGCCAAAGGTTAATGGTCAGACAAGACACAAGTTTAATGAGAAATAGGGATACTCTGGGCAAAGCTAAAAGGAGACTTGTCATTCTTTCTCTGCAGGTGTCATGGAGTTTATATTCTAAATGCAAGAAAATGAAAATGGCCAAAATATAAAAAGCCTGCTGAGTAGACCTGACCTCAAAGCCATGCCTCCTCAAGGGGGGATTTAGGAATTAAGCTTTAGTCTATCTGTACTCATGGTCCTTTTAAGTAGACATCATAGGATAAGACAGTGCCAGAAGTTAGGGTCAATTAAGGGTTTCTCAGCCCAGCTTATCAGTGCAACTAGAGTCATTTAAGCCACTTGGTGTCGAGTGCTGAGGTTCTTCACTTATAACACTAGGAAAGTAAGAGCCAGTAAAATGATTTACCTCAAACTATCTATCTAAACTTGTTTTCCACATTATTTTGTGGATATGTGGATGTGTACACCCAAGCACACACAGAGGTACACATGTGGATTCCAAGATCTAACTCAGGTTGTAAAGCTTGATGGCAAGTGCCTTTACCCACTAAACCGGTTCACCATTATTTAAAAAATACTTCTTTAGCATAATATAAGGTGGCCCATTCAAGAGGACTGCAGACAGAAGACTAAAGAAAGGAGATTTGTACTACACAAGACATCTATATCACTATGTAAGCAAGATTATTCTGAAGTCCCCTGACCTGTTTTCTTCACATCTAGGAAAGATCCTATCAAATGATCCTTGTCAAAATATTGTCTCAGGATGACACAGTCTTCTGATTACTGTAACCTGGGAGATCATCTCTCCATAATAAGATATTTGTTCACAATTTATTTCTTTTTTTTTTCCTCCTCCTCCTCCTTCTCCTCCCCTCCCCCCAAGACAGGGTTTCTCTATGGAGCTTTGGAACCTGTCCTGGAACTCACTCTGTAGACCACACTGACCACACTCACAGAGATTCACCTGCCTCTGCCTCCCGAGTGCTGGGATTAAAGGGATTAAAGGCATGCGCCACCAACACCCAGCTTCAAAGCAAGAAATGGAAAACATTTTTTTCAGCTTCCATTGAAGCTCACCCACAAGGTCTCACCTGCATGCACCAGCACAAAGCCCCCTCGTTTCTCCTCACAGGGCTGCCTTGTTTCTGATTCCTTGACCGTTCCTTTAGCAGCAGACGCCTGAGGCGATCTGGAAGGCAGTCCTTCTCCAGAACTCATCCCCTTCTCCATGGTCATTCTCCAGGGTGATCATCTTCTACCAGGAAAAGAGCATCCTTCCATTCAAAAACACCTGCACAAGAGGAGCTACCCTAGAGAAAAACAGGAAGAGATTACCTCCATTTCTTTCTACCCACATGCACGTCACTTACAAAGTCTTTTTAAAGTGTTTCTAAAATTATTGAACTGGATAGCAATAACAGAACAACACAAGAGGTTTAAAATTTAAATTCCTGTCTTGTCCAGAGACATACAGTACTTGTCTGAAGACATATAAACAAAAAAACTTAATATATAAAAAGATTTCAACTTGGCTGAGTGTGGCACCTTTACTACACCTTTACTACAGCTCTTGAGAGTCAGAGGCAGGAGGATCAGAGTTTGAGGCTAGCCTGATCTATATAGCCAGTTCCAGCCTATCCAGGGCTACATAGTTAGATCCTTAGGAAAAAAAAAAAAAGAGAGAGACAAAGAGAAACAGAGAGAAAGGGAGGGAGGGAGGGAGACAAGGAAAAAACTCAACCTAATCCAAATTTTGTCTCTGTATTACCCATACTGAAGTAAACCTCAACATAGTATAACTATCACTTTATTTTCCCTGCACACCAGCTGATCTCTGGAACAATTTGAAATCACAAGCACCACTGGCACACAAAACTGATATAAATCCTAGCTTTCTGTTTAATGCAACAAGTTCACACTTACAAGTGAAGAACTTACTAGTTTTTATTTAGTATTATTGTATTGTGTACACGATGGGGACACAGAGAGGACAACACTGTGGAGTCGGCTCTCTCCCTCCACCTTTACATGGGTTCAGAGAATCAAACTTACAGAGCAAGCACCATTACCAGCTGAGCCATCTCAGCAGCTTGAATGTTTGTTTGTTGGCACAGGCTCTCACTATGTGGCTCAACTGGCCTGAACCCCACCTCATAACTATCCTGCCACAGCCTCCTGAGTGAGTACTGGGATTACAGAGTGTAACACCACTATTCCCACTTACAAAGAAATTCTTAGGATTCTCAAGATCACCAGTTCAATGCTGCTCAGAGCAATTGTGAAGCATAAATGTTAACAAAGTTATGTCTAAACCATGAATCAACCATGAAAAACAAATGCTAACAAAATTATGTCTAACCCAAAAATTAAAGAAGCACTCCAAACAGCTGTCATTATGAAAAGCATAAAGTTACCCACAGGTAAATAATGAGACATAAAATTTAATAAACCAATTTTCAAGCAGCCAATGCTACTTTTAATTTTTCCCACTATGCATTAAACACTGAAAACCATTACACAATCCAGGTTTAATAACAACAAAGAGGTCAGAATACATTCTAAATTAGGAATAAACATACTTTAAAAGCAACAAAGAGATTTAGAGAAAACATGACAGTGAGGTGGTCAAAACTTCTTAAATGGCAGCGTTAAGTAAAAACATTCAATTCATATGAAACTGAAGAAAGAAGGGGTCAGACATGGTGGCATGTCTACAGTTTAGCACTGATAAAGCTAAGACAGAAGGATCACAAACTAAAGGTCAACAGTGGCTACACAGTTAAAACCTGAGTCAAAAATCAGTTAATTCAGTTACATTAAAAGCAGCCACTAGAAGGAATGAAGAAGTTCTTCATATATAGACATGGAAGTCAAACATTAAAAAATTATTGTAAGGCACATACAAATAGTCAACTCAGTCAGACGTTTGAGACCATCCCTGGCTATACAATGAGTTCCAAAACCATTGTGAATTTAAAACATCTAATTACATATCTAAATACATCTCTCCACCTCTCTGTCTGTCTCTCTCTGTCTCTGTCTGTCTCTCTCTCTCTCTCTCTCTCTCTCTCTCTCACACACACACACACACACACACAGGAACTAATCTCGTTTGTCAACTTCACTACACTCTTAATCAACTAAAACCTAAGCAGCCAGGCATGCCTGTGAAGGATTTTCTCAATTTGAGGTGGGAAGACCCACCCTAAATCTGAGACATGCCTTCTGGTAGCTGGCCCCAGAAAAGGACATGGAAGAAGGAAGCTTTTCCTTTCTGCCTGCTTACTCTTACTCTTGCTGTTGTTCATCTATTGTGCAGAGGTATTCCTTCATTGACATTAGAACCTACTTTAGGGTTCCAGCTTAGACTGAAGAGCAGCTGAGATATCCATCTCCTAGACTAAAGAATTAACAGATTTTTGGCCTTTAAGAGACAGCCACTGTTGTACTAGTGGGACCACAAGCTACAAGTCACTCTAATAAATCCACATTTTAAATATATATAAAAATATACATATGTATTTACATATATATACAATATGGTGGTTTGAATAGGAATATAGCCCTGACAGTTCCACATGTATGAATGCTAGACCCATAGAGACTGGCATTGTTGGGAGGCGTGGCCTTGTTGGAGAAAAGAACTGAGAAAATCCTGTGTTCTCTACCCTTCATATTGGAACTTGTTTTATTCAGTACTAGCCACTGAAGAGACTCTTTATTTGACCATTTTAGGGGCTGAGATGAATGCTAATTCACTAATCATCAAAACCAGAAGGGGTTCTCAAAATAAAATATTAACTTTTACTTTCTAGGTACTAATTTAAGGTCTAAATCTTGACCTTGGATCTCTCAAAAAAAAAAAATGACACTTGTTTTTTAATTATACAATTCAGAAAAGTATTACGTGTCCTGTTTAATCTTTCCAAAGCAGTACAGGAAGATAGTCAATTCGTTTATCTATCTGATAATAAAAGATTCCTTTATAGAAGAAATCTAGCCCTTAAGCTATTGCCATTGATAATAAAGAACCACATTGTTAGCCAGGCAGTGGTAACACACACCTTGGATCCCAGCACTGGAGGCACAGGCAGACAGATGTCTGTGAATTTGAGGCCAGCCTGTTCCACAAAGTTCCATGATAGCCCCAGCTGTAACACAGAGAAACTCTGTCTTGAAAAGCAAACAAACAAAATATGTTGTTAGCCATAATAGCACATGACTGTAATACTAGCTCTTAAGAAAGGTACTGACAGGAGAAAATCACTGCAAGCTTAAGGCCAGGCTGGTCTACATAATGGGTTATAGGCCATTCTGAGATATGAGGTGAGAAGCTCTCATTTTAAATGACAAAACACAGTATACTGGCTTTTAGTATCAAGATGCTGAGACTGCAATGCTTCATTAAATGAATGAGTTCCAGAACAAACTTAAATTCATCTGAGACAGTAATTATCAGACTTCTGAGCACATCTTCTATCTAAATTGTAAACACAAAAGATTTAGTCTTTCTTAGGTTGGTCTGTGTTGTTGAGAATGATTTGTTTTGTTCTGTGAGACAGGGTCTCATGGAGACCAGGCTGACCTTAAATTCCTGATGCTCCTCCCTTTACTTCCCAAGTTCTCAGATTCCATGCGTATACCACCACTCCTGGTTAGTTTACATATTTTATGCTATGCTTGATATAAAATATAGAACTTTAAAAACATATTGCAACCTAAGAGTTCAACTGAGAGGAATGGTTATAACTCACATTATTGTGGCCAACTGACTTTCAAGATGGATGCCTAAGCCAGTTAGTAGGAAAAGGAAAGTCACCAAAGGTGATGAAAATTAGATAGCCAGAAGGCAAAAGGTAAGGCTGTGGTCCTCTCTGCTAGTATACACCAAAATTAAGCACATCAAAACCAAGAGTGGAAACTATAAAAACATGCAGAGTTACCAGAAGTTATAAGGGGTAAACATTTGTGCCTCTAGATTCAGCAGTATTTTCTGTGGTGGTAGTGGCTTTTGTTTGTTTGTTTAGGTTTTAAAAACAGGATCTCTCTGTTTGATACGGAGTCTATTATGTAGCTCTGACCTCTGTTAATAACAGGCACACAGGACATAAGGTAAATAAAATTAAATAAAATAAACTAGTTGAACATTAGACATTTCACCAAAACTATGTAATGATCAATTAGTACATGAAAACATGCTCAAGATTACTAATCATAAAGATGAAAACAACAATGAGATATTATTGCAATAGTACAACTAAGATGTATATAATCAAAACAACAGGTCTTTGCCAAGAGTTAGAGAAGTAGGTTGACCTTCATAATCTGGGACTCAATATGCTATACCCACTTTATAAAATATCTGCTCAGTTCTCAAAACACGTGACCCATAAGCTCCACTTCTAGGTACATACAAAAAAAAAAAAAAAAAAAAAAAAAAACAGAAGGAAAAACTAAAAACAATATCCACACAAAAAATCACAGGTGTAGAATTATTCCAAATAGCCCAAAATACAAAACAATACAACTACATTATTCATAAAAGGGGGGAGGTAGTTTTGTAGGTCAATGGTAGAATTCTTAGCTAGCATGCATGAGGTCCATCCCCATAACAATGGAAAATAAATAAAAAGAGTAATGTATTGTTATATGGTCATAAACAAACCCTGCAAACATTATGCTAACTCAAAGAGGCTACACACAAAAGGACACTTGATACATGATTCCATGTACTTAAAATGCACAAAACAGGAAGATGCTTACTGAACAATGGATCAGAAGTTGTACATGGGGGAGGGTGCAGCTGAAGGAGGGTTAACTATACTGGGTACAAGATTTCTGGTGAAGGTGATAAAAATGTTCAGGAACTAGACAGCAAAATATAAAACTTCTGAATGCTTAAAACACATGCACAGAGAGAGAAATTTACAATTTAAAAGGATGGATTCTTGTACTGTGATGATTACACCTCAATAAGAAAAAAACAAACAAACAAAAAAACCATAACCTGGGCTGGAACCATGGCTCAGCAGAAAAGAGCACTTGCTTCTCTTGCAGGGGACCTGAGTTGTTGCTAGCACCACATGCTGGTTTATAACCATCCACAATTCCAGTTCCGGGAAATAGGATGCCCTCTTCTGGCCTCCATGGATATACGCGTGGTGCACAGACATTATAAAGCAAGCACTCACACACGTAAAATAATAAAATAAAGACAAAGCATAACCTATCTATTCATGCAATGGGTGCAACATACACAAACTGCAATTTTTAGTGTTAACCATATTGTACACACACAGGTAATAGCTTAAAACACCTATGAAATAAAGAACAGAATCCTTAGTTGAGGCACCTATGTTAATCTCTTAATTATTTCTGCAGTTCCCAAACGTTTTCTGACGACAACTGCTTTCTGAAGTAGCAAGAGGAAAGGAGTTTATTTACATCAAACAAAAAGGGAAATTATTAAACGCCAAGTGTGTAAGTTAAACTTCCTTAGTTTCTTTTCCAAAGATCTTAGTCCAACGTCCCCCAACAAACCTTTCTTTCCTCTCCCCAGCAGAATTACGTTGAACTCAGAATCACTGTGCCCTCTACTTCAAAATGCCCGCCTCTCCTGGGATTCATCTACTCAGTCCTAGCCTCCTCGGGCTCTGCACTGGATGCTAATGTCCCTCGGGACTCCAACCAGGCCTGTAAGATACTGCGGGAAGCTCTGGCCCCACCGCGACACCGGCATGGGGCACACACATCCCCGGCCCTGCGCGAACCCGGGGGCCGCGAGCTCCCTGCAGCCTGTGACTGCACAGAGCGCGAAGCGCTACGAGAACTCTGCAGCCAAGGAAACAGGCGGGCCCCACGCGTGAGCGTGACCCGGAGCCTGGGACTCCGTGGGCCCCTGACCCACGACAGGCAGGCAGGTGGCGCCGCGCGCGCCGTCCCGTGCGGTCGGGAGAGGATGCCGCGCGGGCCTGCGGGGCCACACGGAGACCGAGGCTCGGCGGCGGCGACGCGGACAGCGTGAGAACGAGGGACACTCACCCGCGTCAGCGCAGAGCACTCCTTACACCGGAAATCGTCGCTCGCCCGTTGCCAGGGTGAGGAAGCGGGAGTGGAGTGAAGCCTTTCCATTGGCTGAGGGAGCGCACGTGGCCGGAAGTAGCCGCCCGGTGAGGCTGTGTCTCTGCTCTCTAGTCTGGAATGGGTTTTATGGCTTAAGAGCCGGGGCACACTGGTCTCTCTCTGGCTTCTGATCTTTGAGCATTGCTTTTATTTGTTTATTTTTTATTTTTTGCCATATTTGGGCTTGTTTGTTGTCGTAGCTATGCAGTCGCCGTTACCCACCTCAGCTATACTGTGCCCTGTTATTAGCTTGCAGGATGCGTCTACTTCTTACCCACGTGTTTAGGGGACTGGTGCAGTGGCAGGAAATGAAAATACTTGCCATCATTGATTAAGGGGTTGCTTCTTCCGTCATCCTTGCAACCTGACTTCTGTGGAAAACTAGGATTCTACCTGGATTGTGTATAGTGGGAGTCAACCTTACCCTAGGAAGAAGGAAAATGCAGTTAGCCTTATTTAATTGTCCAGGATCAAAGACCAAGATCCAGTAGCAATTGCATTGTTTCCTTGCAGCTAGATAATATCACGAATCCTTTAACAGCATGCTTAGGAAAGCAGATACTGGAAAGAATAGAACAGGGCAAGTTAAGTATCACTCATCTGAAATACTTGGATGAAAAACATTTGGGGTTTTTTCAATTTTTTTTTCAAATTTTAAAATACTTGCTATTCATAATAAGACTTCCTGGGGATGGGACACCAGTTACAAAAAGAAATACTCAGTTGTATTTCATATAGACTTTACACACAGAGCCTAAAGGTGATTTTGTAAAGAATTTTATAATTTTGTGCATGGTGTGGGAGCAGTTGAGGTTTGGGATTTTTAGGTTAGCATGCACTTTTTCCTATGTGAGGTCCCAAACCAGTTTAGGATCACCAGAGCTCTTCTAAAAGTACAAATTCTTAGAACCCACCTAAATCCATCTTTTAACAATTAACTAGGTAATTCTAGTGCCTAGAGCTTGAGAGTCTGGACTGTAGGATTTCTTGACTGAATCTTAGAGGTGTATTTTCATCCTTTCAGAGCAGGAAGGAGGATAAGCCCAATCACTCAGAAGAGGAGAACAACCAATACTTAAGGTTTTAGAGTGATCAAGAACGAGATACAAGAAGGCAGTCTAGGGCTAAGATGAAACAAAGTCTTGATTTCCATCCTGATATTCTAGATTAAAGTATATGAATTGTAAAGAAAAAGTGTTTTTTTTCTTTCAACTGATGGCAATCCCAGATATATAATTAATAATTTTTATATTGTCCAGGATATCTTATATTTTTGGTTGTGAGCCCAGCCATCTCTCCATCCCAGTCCAGGATACCTTTCTGTAATATTTTCTTCTATGGGAAGAAATTAAGAGACAGCTTTAAAAATTTATCAATTTAAGCAAAAATTAGATAGGAAAGGGAATGTAGAGACTAGTATTAAAATGAGCTGTTTGGATAAGTGGGAGGGGAAGTGTTCAATGGTTACATCAGTGAATGGTGGCCATACAGTAAAGGTTAACAGCAAAGATTCTAGAAACAAAAGAATCGGTGCTTATCTCTCTGTTCTACTACTTAACTGTCACATTGAACAATTTGATTAATCCTTCTATTAATTTCCACACTTGTAAAATTAAAATAAAAATTATTGTGTAAAAAATAAATATATGATGAGGTGCTCTGTGTAGCTAAGGTTGGTAGAAGAAACAAAGCACTCCGTGGACTGAACCTGATCAGCCATACAAAGGTGTATTTATTGATTGTTACACAAAGCATTAACTCATACCAAGTTCCCTAATCTAACTTACATGTCTTACTGAAGGAGAGCACCACATACCTTCAAGACTCCAGTTCTTAATTGTGTATCATTTACAATGCACAATAATACAAGTATCTCAGGTATGCCTGAGTTTTGTGATCAAAGTCATGGGATGGCTACAATGCCCCTTCAGCCAAACAGTTCTACAACTCACAGGAAATAATCACTGTTTTCCACATAATTCTTCAGAATCAAAGTACTTCTAAAAAAAATGGTTGTTCATTCTAAAATCTAAATTCTAAAATCTAAAACCCAGATACAGAACTCTGCTAAATTCCTACAACAATATAAGAAGCACTTTAGAAAATATCAGCCCCATAGTGAGTAATCTATAAATGCTAATTGTTTATTTCTTTGTTTTTGAAACAGAGTCTCAAATGTAGCCAATGACCTGACTGGTTCCTACATCACCTTCCCAAGTGTTGGGATTACATGTGTCACCATGCCTGATTTAATAAATGTGAAAATTTTTAAATATCCTTTTTTTCCACATTGTGTGTGTTTATTCACCCATGCCTGCACAAGCTCACACGGTGATGGGAACACACATGCCACAGCATGCTCATGTGTTAGTCAGATGACAACTTGTGAGAGTTCAATCTCTCTTTCTACTGTGTGGATCCTAGAGTTCAAACTTATCAAGCTTGTAGCAACCACCTTTACCTACTGAACTATAGAACCAACCTCAATAAACAGTAATTTTAAAAGAAAGAAAAGCTTGAGCTGGAAAGATGACTCAGCAATTAAGAGCACTGTCTGCTCTTCCAGAGAACGAGATTGAGTCCCAGACCCAGTAGCTCCAGTTAGAGTGGATTCAGTGCTCTCTTCTGGCTTCCATGGGTACTAAGCATGCATATGGTGCACAGACATATTAATGTAAGATAATAAAATAATGTGTATGATGGTGGTGCATGCCTTTAATGCCAGCACAAAGGAGGCAGAGGCAAATAGATCTCTGAGTTCAAGGCCAGACAGAGTGAGGTTCCAAGAAATCCAGGACTACACAGAGAAACTCTGTCTCAAAAAAGAAAAAGAAAAGAAAAGAAAATATCCATTAAGTACATACTTGTTACCAAGAAGTTTGCACAGAACCAAACTTCTTTCTCAACTAGCATACAAACATTTAATAAACCAAAATTGTCTGTAAGTGATCATCAAAACTGGGAAAATAAGTAAGCATTGTATAACTGAGAAAAGTTTTTTTTTTTTTTTATTTTTGTTGTTTTTCTCTATCAAAGAAAGCCTAGCAAGGACTCATGTTTCTGGATATTTCCCCTCCCTCTTTGACATTATTAGACAATTACTTCAGATTGTGAAGTGGGGCCAGACAGATAGGCTGAGACACAGTCACTACCTATGTCAGAAATCACTTGGGAGGCACAGGAAGGCATAACTATGTGAGTTCAAGGCCAGCCTGGTCTACTGAGTGAGTTCCAGGACAGCCAAGGCTAGACACAGAAACCCTGTCTCAAAGACAGAGAGAGAGAGAGAGAGAGAGAGAGAGAGAGAGAATTGCCTTGCCAAGCTACATTTGTTTTGCTAGACTTTTCCTTCCTGGGATACCTGGGATACAGAAATTATTCTTCCTTTCTAACTGGAAAGTGATGATTCATTTATTTAACAGATAATTATGCTTTACATAAAACAAAAGTGCTGGGAGAATGATGGTTTGAAAGGGAAATTGGAGATCAAACCAGTCAGTCCCACAAATCAGCCACCACACTGAACACCAACACAATGCACAGTTTAAGACTAAAGACCAGCTTATATAAAAACAGACACTGCAGCAGTTCAAGTTTAGGCAGAGTTCATGCTAGAAACCCCAGGCCATTTCATTAGTGGGATGTTTACTGATTTTAAACTGGTTCTGATAACATACATTTGTTTATATTTTTCATTCTCATTCAGGATGAAAGATGCTCAAAAAGGGAGTGTGGACATGATGCACACATGCAATGGTCCTCATGTGGGACTCAAAATAACTTAGTAGGGCTGGTTTTATTTTTATTAATTTATTTTATATAACAAAGTCCATTTAAATGAAAACAAACATCTATAGACAATATTTGGGAATTTGGGCGTCTTTCCAAACTACTTCCTGCTGGTAAGGGGCGCTGTCATGGGGGATTCGAAGAAGATTCAGAAATCCTGGCTGTAGTCTGTAAGGCTGCTTTGTCCAGCTGTTTTGAATGTAGGATCACCTTGTACTCTGTTTCAGGCAGTCTGGCTTGATCAAACCACATTAGTCTGGAAGGAATCCACATCTTTTCATTTTCTGTGGAAACAAAAATAGAAATCCTTTTCCCCAGTAACTTGTCCTTGAACTTAAATTTTGGAGTCAAAGCATTTTTTTAATTTAATTTGTTATTTTACATGTCGATCCCAGTTCCCTCTCCCTCCCTCCCTCCCTCCCTTCTTCCCACCCTCCCTCCTTCTCTCCTTCCCTCCTTCCCTCCCTCCCTCCCTTTTACCCTCTCTGCCCTCTCACATGCACTCTAAACACCCTCCCCTCCCACCCTCCACCCCAATTCCATATGTAGGGGAATGCCATCCAGTTGGGGTCATGTAGATCTGAAAGGTCATTTGAAGTAGGGACTAGGGCTTCTCTCCTGTCTCTAGATTAAGGCAGTTATCCCTCCATGGGGGATATGTTCACAAAGTCCTTTTGTGCACCAGGGATACATC